ACGCACACACACGCGCACACACACACGCACACGCACACACGCACACACACACACGCACACACGCACACACGTAGACACGCACACTCGCACATACGCACTCACGCACACACTCACGCACACACTCACACGCGCACACACACACGCACGCACACGCACACGCGCACACACACGGACGCACACACTCGCACTCACACTCACACCCACACTCACACTCACACTCACACTCACACTCAGGCTCGCGCTCACGCTCACGCTCGCACTCGCACTCACACTCACACTCACACTCGCACTCACACTCACACTCACACTCACACTCACACTCACACTCACACTCACACTCACGCTCGAACTCGCACGCACACTCGCACTCGCACTCGCACTCGCACTCACACTCGCGCTCACACTCGCACTCACACTCACACTCACACTCACGCACCCACACTCGCACTCGCACTCGCGCCCGCATGACTCGCACTCGCACTCGCGCTCGCTCTCGCAGTCGCACTCGCACTCGCATTCGCACCCACATTCGCACTCGCACTCGCACTCACACTCACACTCACACCCGCACTCACACTCACACTCACACTCACACTCACACCCGCACTCACACTCACACTCGCACTCGCAGTCACACTCGCACTCGCGCTCACACTCGCACTCACACTCGCACTCATACTCACACCCACACTCACACTCACACTCACACTCGCACTCACGCTCGCACTCGCACTCGCACTCACACTCGAACTCCCGCTCGCATTCACACCCACACTCGCACTCACACTCACACTCGCGCTCGCACTCGCACTCACACTCGCACTCACACTCTCACTCGCACTCGCACTCGCACTCACGCTCACGCTAGCGCTCGCACTCACACTCACGCTCGCGCTCGCACTCACACTCGCACTCACGCTCGCACTCGCACTCGCACTCACACTCACTCACTCACTCTCGCTCTCACTCACTCACCCGCTCGCTCACCCACTCACTCGCTCACTCACTTACTCACTCACTTACTCACTCCACTCACTCACTCACTCACTCACTCGCGCGCGCACGCGCACACGCATGCACGCGCGCGCGCACTTGCGCGCGCGCGTGCACGCGCGCACTCGCGCGCGCACGCAGGCACGCGCGCGCTCACAGGCGCGCGCGCACGCACGCGCGTACGCGCGCACGCACGCACGCGCAACACACATAGACCACGCACACGCACCTACACGCACACTCTCACGCACACGCACACGCAGACGCACGCGCGCACGCGCACGCGCACGCGCACGCACGCGCGCGCGCACACACGCGCGCGGGCGCACACGCACGCGCAGACGCACGCGCGCACGCATACGCACGCGCGCGCACACGCACACGCACACGCACACGCACACGCACACGCACACCACGCAACACGCACACGCACGCGCACGCGCACGCGCACGCGCACACGCACACGCACGCACACGCGCACGCGCACGCGCACGCGCACGCGCACACGCACACGCACACGCACGCGCACGCGCACACGCACGCGCACACGCACACGCACACGCACGAGCATGCGCACGCGCACACGTTCACGCGCACGCACGCACACGCACGCGCACGAGCGCACGCGCGCGCACGCAGGCGCACACGCACGCGCGCACGCACGCGTACACTCACACGCACACGCGCACGCGCACGCAGACGCACGCGCACGCGCACGCGCGCGCGCACACGCACGCGCGCACGCGCACGCACACGCACGCGCGCACGCGCACGCAGACGCATTCGCACACGCACGCGCGCTCGCACGCGCACACGCACACGTATACGCACACGCACACGCACACGCACACGCGCACCCACACGCACGCGCACGCGCGCACGCGCAGCGACGCGCACGCGCACGCGCACGCGCGCACGCAGACGCAGACGCACTCGCACACGCATTCGCACGCGCGCACGCACACGCACGCGCACACGCACACGCACACGCGCACGCACGCGCACGCGCGCACGCACACGCACGCGCGCGCGCACGCACGCGCACGCGCACGCGCACGCGCGAGCGCACGCGCCCGCTCACACGCGCGCGCTCGCGCGCGCACGCCCACGCCTACGCGCGCGCGCACGCGCAAGCTCACGCGCGCGAGCGCACGCGCGCGCGCGCACGCGCACGCTCACGCGCACGCGTGCTCGCAAGCGCACGCGCACGCGCGCGCGAAAGTGCACGCGCACGCGCACCTGCGCGCACGCGCAAGCGCAAGCGCACGCGAACGCGCACGCGCACCCGCACACGCACGCGCGCACGCACACGCACGGGCACAAGCACACGCACACGCACACGCACACGCACACGCACGCACGCACGCCCTCACGCACGCACGCGGCATACGCTCACGCGGCCACGCACGCACACACGCACCCACCCAAGCACACACAATTACAATCTCACACACACACACACTCACACGCGCACGCGCAAACGCACACGCACACACACACACGCAGGCACGCACGCACGCTCACGCACACGCACACGCACACGCACACGCACACGCACACGCACACGCACACGCACCCGCATCGATCCCGCAATCGATCTCGCTCGATCTAGTTCATTCGATCGATCTCACAATCGGTATGACTATTGATTTCAATCGACACCGCAATCGATCTGACTATCGATGTCACAATCTATCCCACAACCGGTCTGACAATCGATCTCGCTATCGGTACCGCAATCGATCTCACAATCAACGTCATCATCATCATCAACACCGCTTACAATGTCATCAACATCATCACCACCATCACCACCATCATCGGAACATCATCATCATCACCTCATCACCATCATCGTCAACATCGTCATCATCATCATCACCATCATTATCACCATCGGGACACGATCATCGTTACCATCATCATCAACATCATCATCATCATCGGGACATCATCATCATCGGACCACCACCATCATCATCATACTCTGACCATCATCATGAACATCACCAACATCATCACCATCGGGGCGTTATCATCATCATTAACAGCAACTTCATTATCAACATCATCATTATCGGGACACCACCATCATCGGCACCGTCACCATCATCATCATCAACACCGTCATCATCGGGACACCATCATCATCAACATCCGCAGCATCATCACCGTCATCGGGTCACCATCACCAAAATCAACATCACCACTTCATCATCGTCGTCATCCTCTTCATCATCATCATCATCAACACCAAGACACCATCATCGTCATCATCATCATCGACATCATCATCACCTTCCGACACCAGCATCATCATCCCCATCATCGTCAACATCATCATCAACAACCTCGTCATCATCATCGGGATACCATTATCACATCCCCATCATCAGCATCATCATCTCGCCATCTCCACATCATTGACATCGCTAGGATCATCAACATCATCACCATCATCGGGGCACCCGCATCATCATCGTCGGCGACATCAGTATCATCATCACCATCATCGGGACACCATCACCATGTCCTTAGCCATTTTGGCTCAAGGCTCTAACCTGCGCCCTGGGGTTAGAACCTTGGCTGCTGCCGACGGGGGGGCTCTGGCTTCAAGGGCGCAGCGCCCCTTTCTCACTCGCGACACCTGTCGGAGACCAGCCCTGGTCGCGGCTGGCCCTTCGCATTGTCGCCCGGCAGTTGCCCTGTCCTTCTCTGGGGGCGATGTCTGTCTACCTCGAGAGTATCGGGGCCCTCCTGAGGGAACGTGGGGCAGCTGCGCGGCAGCGGGCGGTGCGGGCCAAGGAGGCGCTCGACAAACTGACGGCGGCGGTCGCCAAAGCCCAGACCTCCACCAATCAGCTTGCGCTCCGCACGTCCGCGGCGCAGGTCGAGACTGACGCGAGGTTCGCCAGGCTGGGCGAGCAGATTCGGGTTCTCCAGGATTCGCGGGACTCTCAGGACTGCGAGGGCGACCAGTGCGGCGACAAGCAGATGGCTCAGGTGGGCCCTCCGCCCCTTCGTGGCAAGTCGCCCGAGATCGATGCCATCGAGAAGAAGCTCGCCGAGCTTGCTGCAGCTCAGTCGGCTGCCGCATCGGTGGCCGCGTCCGCAGCAGCTTCGGTCAGGTCTTTCAGCTTCGCGCCAGAGAGGAAGCGCGCTCGCATGTTGGTCGGCAAAGTCATCAATTGAGTGGACGAAGGAGAGGCTCCAGATCGTTCCAAGATCCTGGCGCGAGGTTTCCCGCGGGAGTTCCTGAAGGCGATGCTGGACGAACGCTTCCTGGCGATGAAGGACTCCCTCCCTGCCACTATTCGTCAAAGGTGCCAGGCGTGGACACGCAGTATGCAGACGGCCTATGTGGCCAAGTTCGACACTGAGCAGGACGCCAACAGCTTCTACGACCAATTCCGTGCGTCCCCCCCCCTCGTGGCGTGACCCGGGGTCTGGCATTCTCCGCGAGATCCGAGTTGGTCGCGATCTTCCGATTGAGGTCAGGAGGAGGAGCTTCGCGATGAGCAGTTGCTGGGCCATCTGCAAAGACATGCTGCAGGGTCAGAACCTGTGGAAGCCTGAGATGAAATTTGGATGTAACCCGTTCCAGGGGGTGTGCTACCTCATCTGTCAGGGCGAGCCGTACGAGTTGGTCAGGTGCGTCGATTCCCTGGGCGGCGCGTTCACCTGCGAGCCGCAGTTCGCAGTGCTTCAGGAGATCGGGATCGCGAAGGAGATGGCCGAGAGCATTCCTGGACTGGGTCAGGGTCTTCTCGAACAGTCCTCCTGATGGCGTGCGTGGCAGGACGGTTGCTCGGTGAAGTTGAACGCGAATTTGTGTTCTAGTGAAATCCACCCACGCTCGGTGGGTGCTGCGCGGTGCCATGCCTGCAGATGAAGCTGTGATATGCAGTGCTTAAGTACCGCGTCGTGATATGCCATGCTGCGCTTTGGTCTTCAATGCCATGCTATGCAATGTTATGTTCGGGGCCGCTGTGCGATGCCATGCTTTGCGTTGCAAAGCTGCTGTGATGCAATTCTTCACCACGCCGCGCCACGCCACGCCATGCTGTGACATGCTACGCTTTGCGGTGCTCTTCTACACCATGCCATGCCGTGCTCTACAATGCATTGCGTACCCTTTCGGGATCACTGCCCTGCTCGGCATCCGACTGTGCGAGTAGAGAGGGGATCTACGCCACGGTAAGGGATGGAAGGGGGGGGGGGGGGGGGGGGGGGGCGGGGGGGGGGGGTGTCATATATGACGCGGGCGCACCTAGCTTGTCCTCCTCCTCCCCCCCTCCTCCTGTGCGTTCCAGGTCCGAATGCCAGCGGCCCTTTGTATTTTGGCGAGCGTGCAATTTAGTCTCATGGAATGCAGGTGCCCTTTTTGGAGCAGTGTCTGGTTCAGAGTCTCGACAGAGACGTGCCCTGGGGAAGGTCCGCGGCCTATGCCGTAACAGTGATGTTATATTATTGCAGGAAACGCATGGTTCGGAATCCGACTTGTCGAGTTTCGAGCGTGACTTCCCCCGTGCACTTCGGCTCCTTCCTCCTCTCTCGCGCTGGCGGCGTGGTCACTTCCACTCGCAAGGCGTTGGCTGCCGAATTCGAAGGTGATCCCCGACTGCTCGTGATAGATCCTGGTTGGGTGCTCTCGCTCGCCTTCCACGGTCCAGCTGGCAGCATGCAGTTAGTCAATGTCCACGTCGAACCGTAAAGGAGACATAGTTTGAAGATGGAGCTTCTCCAGAAAATCCGTCGGTATACCATGGGGCTCAACGTTGCTTCAGTTTTCCTGGGCGGTGATTGGAATTTCCTGGAATCTGGTGAGCAGCGGTATTCCATGGTTTCGGACGAAACTCCAAGGATATCTGCGGCGTCTAGGCTAGGCGACCTATTTGATCGGCTTCTTCTTCGACGTGCTGAAGTTGAGCAGGGTTATCCTACCCGCAGGTGCGTAGCCCATGAAACTGTTGTTAGCGTTGGTCGTCTTGATAGGTGGTACTCTAACCTCCCCAGTTCAGTTCTTCTTGATCTGTCCCCTCGGAGCATCGTGATTGGGCGCGCGCGCGACCGTCGTGAACCGTCGGGCCATGTCCCCGTCGTCCTTCAGCTCTTCCCCAATCGGTCTACAATTCGTAAGCTACCTAAGCGCTTGAATGAAGTTGCTTTGGAGGCCGGCCTTTCGGAGGGCCCTCGAGAGCGTATCCAGGAGATTAAGGAGTGTATGTTTGCGGTTGAAGATAGGCCCCTGGAGAGGCCCTTCCGACATGGACCAATCACCGACAGGCAGAAGGTCGCCATTTGCCTGAAGTTCATGCGTGCCACCCAGTACAATAATCGTGTTCTGATTAGGAGGTGTATTCTGTTTCTGCCAGTCCTCGCCCAGTTCTTCGATTCCGAAGGCGAGTCCTATTCCGATGATGCGGCGTTTCGCAAGTACTTGCAGGGCGTCTGCAGTGACATATTGCACGCTGAGATCAGCGACTTCTTTGCCGAGGACCCGCGCGCCTCACGTGCTGATTCTCGCCCCTCTGAACTGCGCGACCTTCTCAGGCTTGGGCTTCCTCAGCGTCGTCGGCTCACTCTGTGTCATCTTCCTGATCCTGGGGGCGGAGAATCTGGGCCCCTGGCTACAGCGCGGCCAACCTGGCCAAACGTGGGGGGGGGTCCATGCCGAGCGGGCTCGGGGGCCCAAGTGCGATGTTGTGAAGCGCTGGCTTTCCCGGGAAATTCAGCAGATCTCGCCCAGCAACCAGTGGGGGCTGATGCATCATGAGTTCTTAGGTCTCCTTTTTGCTGAGAAGGAGTCCGCGCCTGGCCCCGGCGGCATTCGATATGCTGCGCGGAAGGCGGGTGGCGAGTTGTGCCGCGAGTGCGTGCCCCCCCCCCGCTCAGATTCGCTGGGCCGTAAAGAGATGAAGGGGGGTTTAACTACGCATGCACTGCATTCGTTCCCAAGGATGATGGAGGTGGAGGTGGTGGGGGGGCTTCCCTGGGCTTCTCGCGCGCCGCAGATGCTACTCGCCCTATCTCCCTTTCCAGCTGCGACCACGAGCTCCTCGCTGCAGCCCTCGCCCATCCGATTGCCGTGCAAGCTCAGTATTCGGTCTCGGCTGCTCAGTATTCGGTCTCGGCTGCGCAGAAAGGGTTTGCGAAGAAACGCAATCTGTTCGATCGCATTCTCGAGATGGAGTCTCAGTTGATTGACTTCTTCTCCTTTCAGGGTTATCAGAGAGCGGGGCTTTTCCTGCTGGATATGGCGGCTGCCTTCCCGTCGCGTGACCATGATAGGATCTTCGACTGCTTGTCGGAGCCAGGCGTGCCGAGATATTTCTTGTTTGCCATTAGGGAGCAGTATGATCATGTGATCGCAGAGGTCGTTCTCCGAGGGCAAGTTTTCGATGGTTTCTGTATCCTCCGGCGGGTTGAGCAAGGCTGTTCCGTGGGCGGGGTGATCTTCGCCCTTTGCTTTGCTCCTTTGGCCCGTCACCTGGGAAAGGCCCTGCGACCGCGCCCGGGCAGGCCGTTCGCGTTTGCCGACGACATCGGCGTGCTCTCCCAGGACCTACTGGTGTCAGCACCGTCCATCGCCCGCCTCATGGCGGAGGCGGCCTGGGGCACCTGTCTTCTGATCGACCAGAAAAAGTGCATCGCTGTTTTCCCTGTTGGCCCGACTGAGGACGAGGCCCCGCAATTGTTCCAGGGTGTCGGGCTGAACGTTTCGCCGCTCCAAGTAGGCTCCTCCGCCAGGTATTTGGGTATGTCTTTTGGTCTTGGTGGACCTGGGCGTAGCTGGATTGCCCCTCTGAGGAAGCTCCAGGATCGGCTTCAGTATATTCGTGGTTTAGTCCTGGGTCTTGCACAACATATTCGTGCGTACGCCACGTTTGGCTTTCCCCGTGCTCAGGTTTCCCGCGCAATTTCTTCCCGCGCCTGCGGTTGCTCTTCGTGCTGATCGTGAAGCTCATCAGTTTCTCACTGCAGGCCCGAGGTTGGCAGTGCCCTTGTTCGTGCTGGCGCGCGTCAGCGAGATCGGGCTCCCTGTCCAAGTCCGCTCCGTCGCCTTGGAAAATCAAGCAGCTATGTATCGAGTGTGTCTGCGGTCAGAAGCCTTCCCACGTGCATGCGATCGCTGGTGCAAGCTCCGAGAGGTCGAACTTGAACGTTTGACTGTGGCTCGAAGGGCTGACTGGGTTCAGGAGTCCATCGCGGGGCCCCTCTGCTCGTTATTCACGCGCTTCCAGGCCATCCCCATGATGATCTCCGATCCTGACCTGTCCCTCCTCCAGAAGCAGATCTACAGTGTACTTGAGTCTCGTGGCTCCCTGAGTCGGCCCTCGGTTTCGATTGCCCTTACCCCCAGGCTTAGGAAGTTTCGGGCCGATATGCAGTCTTGGCATTGTGACCGTGTCCTCCAGTACTTAAGAATTGCTGGGATAATTGCTCCCTGGGTTAGTTCTGCATATCTCAGAACTATCTGTAATGGGTGGTGCACCTCTGCCCGCTTCGGACAAGGGTGCCAGGTGTGTCGATTTGGATGCCAAGCCATGGGGGGATACCATGTCTTGCACTGTTTGTCTTGTCCGCTTTTGCTGTCTTCGCTGCCCCGTCTCCTCCCTAGCCTTCCCGAAGATGTTTGCGCTTGGTCGCCCGAAGATACACTGCTTCTTTGCCATCGGCCTTCCGTGGACGGCGTTCTATTCCTCAGAGCCCACAACAAATGGGGACTAGGGGCTCTCTCGACCCTTCTCGCGGCGATGGCTAGGGCCGTCGCTAAGAAGAGGAGGGCGGTTCGTGCTCTTTAATTTGTTCTGACCACCTAGGAACGAGTGGATCATCGGGACACCATCACCACCGCCATGGCCATCATCATTCTCATCAACATCATCACCATCGTCATCATCATGATTACCACCGTCATCATCGGGACACCGACGGGACACCGGCGGGACACCGCGCGCCACCGGACGCCGGAAGGGAGACATTTAGTCCGGCCGCGTTTCAGCCACTGCGGGACACCGGCAGGACACCGCGCGCCACCGGACGCCGGAAGGGACACATTTGGTCCTGCCGCGCCTCAGCCACAAGAGCCTGTCCTTTTGCCCGGCCACGCAGTTTCGGCTTTCCCGCACGCGCAGCACGCACGAACACGGGAATGGAATCGATTTCCTGGTAGAGGGGGTTCTCCTCTCCACTTCGATCTCACACGTCACTTCCGATATGTATATATATATATATATACACATATGTATATATACATATGTGTGTATTTATGTATATATTTACGCGCCTGTATATACGTTTGTTTGTATATATATACATATTATGTATGCATGCATGTATGCGTATATATGTGTATGTACATGTATATGTGTATGCATATTCAGTTGTGTATGTATACGTATAGGTATATGTATATGTAAGTGTATGTGTATATG